CTCCACCTGCTGCCCACGCTGCTCTGGATCCTATTCTTGATAGAATGGAATGGGATGGAATGGATTGAAATGGGATGGAATGGGATGGAATGGATTGAAATGGGATGGAATGGATTGAAATGGGGTGGAATGGGATGGAAAAATAAAATAATATAATATTTTCCTACAATGATAATCTCATCCAACAACACACCCCTGGGATGCAGTGCTGCCTCCAGCACCGGCTGTCAGCTGGCTGCAGTGGGGATGCTCCTGCAAACCCCCCCCCAGAGCTGGGGGGATGCCCAGGGATGTGCTGAGCCCCCCATTTCCCTCTCCCCAGGGGTTACCTCTACGCAGGGTTGGAATTCGGTGCCGAGTGTTACTGTGGGCACAAGGTGCAGGCGTCGAACGCCAGCGAGTCCGAGTGCAACATGGAGTGCAAGGGGGAGAGGAGCAACATCTGCGGCGGGGGCAACCCGCCTGGAGCTGGCCCAGGAGTCCGCACGGAGATGTAAGTCAGTGGCATCCATGTGGGTCCCAGCTCGGCCCCAAATGGGGGAACCCCTCATGGTGCAGGTGGGGGTGACCCCGGTGTCCCTGTGCTGCATAAGCTGGGTCACAGCTTGGGAGAGGTGGATTGAAAGAGGTTCAGGGTGGTTTCGCTACTACAAACCATGGGGATCCCCAATTTGGGGGTTTGCTAATTACTGCACTTTCCCCCTCGTCCTTTGCACTTACAAACTAGCAAACATGATGTTCTTGTATGTTATCAACATTATTCTTGTAACAAATCCCACAATGAAACCAGAGCACAGCGCTTTCTAGCTACTGAGAAGAAATGTTCTGGCTGCTGAGAAGAGAATTCACTCTGTCCCACCAAAACCAGGACAGCTCGTTTGGCTCCCAATTAGGCAGTGCTATAATTACCCACATTTGCTGTTTTTCTTTCTTTGTCCCCAAACAATGGGCAAGAGGGTGGCAGCATTGGAGCTCCAACCACCAGGCACCCAGGGGAGTGGCAGCCTCAGCAAGGGACCGAGGGTGCCTGGGTGGGTGCTGAGGTGGGTGAGGACCAGGGATGGGACCCCCTGATGCCCAGGAGGGGGGACCAGGCCAGACCCAGCCCTGCTGGCTCCATCCCTCCTGCAGCCTGGGGTCACCGAGCTGACAAAAATAGGGAGAAAAAATTAAACTAGACTTTGCTGCCGGGACTTTTGTTTGGATTTTGCACTGTAAGCAGCTGGGTGAGCTTGTTCGGAAATGGGGATTCACAGCCAGAGGGTGACGAGAGCCAGAGAAAAGCCACCGCTGTGCCGATGGGGCTGGAGAGGAGCGCTGGGGACAGGGATGGGGACACTGGGGCATGCAGAGGCTCCTGCTCCTGAGCCTGGGGTGCACGGGGTGACAGCAGCATCGATGTAGGGGTGCAGCCCTTGCTCCTCATGGCTGGGCAGCATTGCTCTCAGCATCACTGGGGTCTCTCTCTCTCCCTCGCAGACGGCAGCGCGATATTTCGGGGATGTTTCCGCCAACCAGACAACGTCTCCATCGCCCTGCCTGTCAGCCAGCTCATGCCCAACATGTCGGTGGACAAGTGCGTGGACTTCTGCACCGAGAAGGTACCAGGGGACCCGGGAGGTGCAGGTCGAAAGCTTAATCATCTAAATCTTCATCAGAAAGTTCACACTTTCTGGTTAAATTATAATTTGATTTATTATAATAATTATGTATGTCCAAACTACAAATGACCATATTGATGGTATCTCTGCGGTGAGGACTGTGGTCCTGCTCTGCTCCAGGGATGCTGCAGTGCAGTTTGCTCCTGAGACGTGATGCCGGTGAGCAGGCAGGGGAAAGGCTGGCAGTGGGCATTGCTGGAGTCTTTATTAATTAAATAAATTATCAGGCAGAGGAAGGGAAAGGTCTGCAGGTGGGGACAGTCCTGTCCTCCCTTCGTGGCCTCTCTGGCAGAGGATGGTGCGGAGTTAATCACACCAGTTAATTATGAATGGGTGCTCCATTGCTGGCTCCACTCACTGCTGTAAATAACCAAAGCCCCCAAATCCCAGAATTGCCCAGATTGGCAAAGACCTTTAAGATCATTGAGTCATTTAGGATTACCGAGGCTCAGGAATCCTCCTGTCCCACAGGAATATCCACTCTCAGCGCTGGCCGGGACTGCCTGCCACTGTGGTTTCCCCACCACGCTCTTCACCCTGCACGAGCGCGAGGACGAGCAGCTCTGCGCCCAGAAATGCGCCGGTGAGGAGTTTGAGAGCTGTGGCACTGCTGAATATCTCCTCGTCTACCAGACCCAGGTGCAAGGTGAGACAGTGCTGGGGTCACCCTGCCCGCTGCTGGTGTGGGTGTGTGGTGGTGGCACTGGGCTGGCACTGGGCTGCAGCCAACACAGCTGCTCGCTCACTGCCCACCCAGGGGACAGGGGAGAGAACTGGGGGGCAAGAGGAAGCAGACTCATAGGGTGAGAGAAGAACTGTTTAATCATTGAAATAAAATGAAACTCATAATAATAATGATATTGAAATAATAATTATAATAATAATAGGAATAAAATACACAAATGAGTGATCCCCAGTGCCATTGCTCACCACCCGCCGACCAAGCCCGGCCCATGGGAGATGGAACAGCCCCTTGGCAGAGCCCAATGCCCATGGAGCTGATCCATGGCAATATTCCTCCCCCCTGAGATCTTGCGCTTGCAGAGGGACAAACACAAAGTCCTTCAGTGCCAGGGACACAAATGCAACATGGGGATGTTCTCAGCGTTTCTCTCCTGACAAATCCCAGCTGAACCCAACCCCCAGGGCTGTTCCAGCTGCTGAACAGAACCAGCTCTGGCCCAGCTCACACCAGGACAGGGTGCCAGCACCACTTTCCCAACCCCTTCCTGGGGATGCCGGCAAAAAGTGAACATCAGCTCGCAGCATCTATTTGGTTTTCATTAAAAATTCCCATTTATTTTAATTTCCTGTGAAATCAACCCTCCCCTGAACAAACAGCCTTAATTACTGCCTGACTCTGCTGCAGGGGAGAGCAGTTTGCCATCTGCCTCCAGCTGGATCCCTCCTTGCCAGCGCTTGTCCCTCCTTGTCACTGGTGGTACTGGTGTGCTGGAGCTTTGTCAGTCGGGTGGGACAGACTCCAGGGAAAAATATGGGGGAAAAGAACTGTGACCAGGGAGAAAGTTCCTGGGAGGCTGCACAGAGATAGCTTCTGTCCTCCACCATCCTGCATGTCCTAGAGGGATGGATGTGAGGAAGAATTTCTTTGCTGAAAGGGTTCTGAGGCATTGGAAGGGGTTGCCCAGGGCAGTGGTGGAGTCCCCATCCCTGGAGGGATTGAAGAGTCGTGTAGACATAGTGCTGAGGGACATGGGTTAGTCGGGGACTTGTCACTGTTGGGTTCATGGTTGGACTTGATGATCTCAAAGGGCTTTTCCAATCCAGGCAATGCTGGGATTCTGGCTGATGGGGACAGGGAAGCACAGGACCAGGGGAAACCTCTTACTGGGCTGAATGGAGCAAACGAGGACCCAAATTCAGGTGGTTTTGCTTCAGAACAGCTCGGTTTTGACACAATCCCTGCTCAGCATTTGAGGCCGTGCTGGAAACACTTGTGCAACCATCGATATCAAAATCAGAAGCATTGCTGGGCAAACACACCTGCGCTGCTCATGCTCCCCTACTCGGGGGGGCAGCAAGCAGCCAGTAATGGCAAAGAACCTCCTGCCCTCTCCTGAGGACTTTTTGGGGTGTTTCAGACTCTTTGGAGTGTTCAGGACAGTTTGGGGTGTCCCTGTGTGCCTTAGGCAGGGAGCCTTTCCCTGTCATAGAATCATTTGGTTGGGAAAGACCTTTGAGATCATCAAGCCCAACCGTACCTGTCCACTGCTAAATCAGACCTCTGAGCACCTCATCTACCCGGCTTTTAAACACCCCCAGGGATGGGGACTCCACCACTGCCCTGGGCAGCCTGTTCCAGTGTCTGATGACACTTCCAGTGAAGAAATTTTTCCTGACATCCAATCTGAACCTCCCTTGGAGTCACCTCCTCCCACCCTGTCCCAGCATCCTCCCAGCAGGCAGTGGCAGGGAAGAGGGATGTCTCTGTAGGAACAGCATGGTACCGTGCCACAGCCCTGACCTGCCTTGGCTGGTTCTCGCTGCAGACAACCGCTGCATGGACAGGAGGTTTCTTCCCACCCGTGCCAAGCAGCTGGTGGCCCTGGCCAGCTTCCCGGGTGCCGGCAACACCTGGGCTCGCCACCTCATCGAGCTGGCCACCGGCTTCTACACCGGCAGCTACTACTTCGATGGGTCTCTCTATAACAAAGGTGAGAGGTGGGCTTCATTGTCAAGGGTGCACCGGTCCCACCAGAACTGGGAGAAGGTCCTGGTGCCATCCCTTGGGGGTGTGGGAAGGGGAGGACAGAGCTGGGTACCACTGCTGCTGGTGGTGGAATGGTTTGGGATGGTTTGTGCTGGACGTGTCCTGGTTCCAAGGGTGTCCAGTTCTGGGCCCCACAGTTCAAGAATAACACCAAGATGATGAAGGGAGTGGAGCATCTTCCTTATGAGGAAAGGCTGAGGGAGCTGGGTCTCTTTAGCTTGGAGAAGAGGAGACTGAGGGGAGACCTCATTAATGTTTATAAATATGTTAAGGGCCAATGTCAGGAGGATGGAGCCAGGCTCTTCTCAGTGATGCCCAATGGTAGGACAAGGGGCAATGGGTGTGAGCTGGGACACAGGAGGTTCCGCTTAAACTTGAGAAGAAACTTCTTTACAGTGAGGGTGATGGAGCCCTGGGACAGGCTGCCCAGGGAGGGTGTGGAGTCTCCTTCTCTGGAGACATTCAAGACCCACCTGGACGCCTTCCTGTGTGATCTCATTTAGGTTCCTGCTCTGGCAGGGGGGTTGGACTGGATGATCTTTCGAGGTCCCTTCCAATCCCCAACATTCACTGATTCTATGTGAATCTGTGTGTCAGAAGGACCCAATACCACGTGTGCCTGTAACCTCCTACTCATCCTCCCAAGTGCTGGTTTTGTCTTTATTCTCAGCTGAGCACGTGGCAGGGCTGGGAGGTCTCCAGGCAACTGGCAGATCAGCCATCGCGTCCCCGCGTCGCACGATGTGGCTGCCCAGAGCAAATGACACATTGATAATGGGTGTCATGCAGCTCCTTACACCTTGTCTCTCCCCACAGCCCAGCTCCGTCGCTGACACGCCGTTCCCGGGTAGTTCGGGTTGTGCTTTGCAAGGGTTGAGGGTGCAAAGGGACATTGAGGGGTGGCTGTCCCCTCTCTGGACCCCTCCATGGCATCGCTCCAACCCCTGGGTGCATCTGCAGCCCCAGGAGAATGGGGTTTTATACCCTTCTTAATTTATTGGGAGGGTTTAAATGCTGTGGCCAGGGAGATTATAGCTATAAAAAGATATTTTTATATATATCTGACCCAGGTTGGGTGAGGCTTTGAGCAACCTGGTCTAGTGGAAGGTGTCCCTGCTGCTGGCAGGGGGGTTGGGACTGGATGAGCTTTAGGGTCCCTCCCAACCCAAACCAGTCTGGGATTCTCTGATTTTTGACCTCACCAGGGTAAGGATAAGGTACATTAATGCCTTGGGAATGGATTAGGTGGGCAGAAGCCCAAGGACCCAGACTCTGCCCCTTCTTTGGAGCAGCTGTGGTTAGTTAACGCCCGGGAGAAGCTGGGCTGTACAATATCAGGCTGTCACAGATCATCTCGCTGTGAAGAGCCGAGCATGGCTGGGAAGGAGGCAGCCCCGCTCGCTGCCCACCCTCTTGTACAGGAGTTTTACATCATGGCTTGACTCATAACTCAGGCAAATAAATGAATTCCATCAAGAAGAGGGACGTAAATTCTACTTCAAGCCCTGGCTGCTTTTATCCTTCCCTTTCCCCAACTTGCTTTTATTATTTGTATGAACATCAGCACCGCCTGCTTCTCAGGCACCCGCTTACTCTGTCCTGGCAGGGTTCAAGGGCGAGAGGGACCACTGGAGAAGTGGGAGGACAATCTGTATCAAAACCCACGAGAGTGGCCAGAAGGAGATCGAGTCCTTCGATTCAGCCATCCTGCTCATCCGGAACCCCTACAAAGCTCTGATGGCAGAATTCAACCGCAAATACGGGGGACACATCGGCTTCGCGGCTCACGCCCACTGGAAGGGCAAAGGTAGGCTGGTGGGTTTGGGATCCGGTGGGTGAGCTCCAGCCTGGCCAATGGAGCTAGAAATGTGTTGTTAAAGCTCACCAGGAGCCTGAGTCTGGTCCCTGTGAGGGGGAAACCTGCGCTGTGCCACCTCTTTGGGGTCCCCATGTTGGAGGAGCATCTCCTGGGCTTGCAACCAGCCTGACCTCCAGCATCCACCTGGCACGGGTGGGATGGGATGGAGAAGCAGAGATGCTCAGTGCTGTGTTGAATCACAAGGGCAGCAGCAGAGAGGTGGCAGCGCCCAGGGACATGAGTCCAACAGCAGCCTGGCACCAGCGGGGAGGAAATGGGTTGGGAGGGCAGGAGCCCAAGGACCCAAGCTCCGTCCTTTCTTTGGAGCATCTCTTGAAGGCCAAGGCACCAAGTCCTGCCCGCTACTGCCAGATTGGTCTCCTGCCTCCGTTCTCCTCCCAGCTCTGCCCATCTGGTGCCATCTCACAGGAGGAAGGAGATCTCCTCCAATTCCCCATCCTCCCCCAGGGCAGAGGGGCAGAAGAGACCCAGCTGATGTGCAGGGCAGTGCTGGGTGGGTGAAGCCCCCCACCCCTTTGCCATGGCAGGAG